ATCATCTCCCCGTGTGGCTAAGTCGTCATGGTTACATTGTGGTATCCAACTCTAACTCACGGAAATATCATTTATTTATTGTGATGTGTTTTATCATCAAATGTATTTTAAGCGTGACTTATGCAAAAAAAAAAAAAAATGACAAATGGTCCATAAGTTAATGATGCTAAATATTAGAAATCGAAAGGAGTACTAATTGTCATTTCTTTACTCAGAATATCCGAGTGGTAACTGATGAGTAAAACCGAAACACTGCAGTATTTAGTTTAATATAATATGAAGATTCTATACAAATGTATTTCTCAGAGGTTATAATTGTTTTTTTTTTTCAATGAACATTTCTAATGTCAACTATCCTCATCACCCAAAAAAAACAAAGAACAGTAACCAAATATTACTCGATGCATTTGACATGAATTATTAGCAGTGATTAGTAATGAACAAGAAACTGAAGATGTAACAGAACAGGCGAGGGCAAGCCGTTGATTGGTGGCATCTGATGACCTCTAATGCCCCAACAATGCGTATTTTTGATATGATAGTAAATAATATTTAGAAGAAATAGTTAAAATTTCAGGAGTTTAAATACAACCTAAAACGGTTAAATTGATGCTAAACACGTATTTGTTACAAGCATCAACCTGGTATTATGGTTTAAGAATTAAGAGTAATATCGAGATACTATTACTCATCCATGTCACGGTTTAAGAGTAGTATCGAGATATTATTACTCATCCAAAGATTTGCACAGTTCAACAGAAATAAAATAACTTATCTTCGGATGTCAAAATTTACAACCATATGGAGGAAGGGAGTGCTGGATAACAACGTACAAAAAACTCCAATCCTTTTCCCAGATTCTGCCCACCACAAAAAGTTCAATCTAAAAGTACCGGCTAGTGCTAGGCAAACCATACTTGGAGCTAAAACCACCGAATAAGATTATGTTTCACACGTTATCTGATAAAAGATACATGATGGCATTGCACAGGTTCCACTAGAACGAGTTCATAAAAGGGCAACAAAAGGCACAACATAATTTACACTTGAGAACATATGGCAAGGGTTTTATGCTGCGATAGGGACTTTGCAGGTTGCCTTGTTGTGCCCATAACCCTTACACCTGCTGCAGCGCACCGCCCTTTTGATTGCGATTCGAGGATCAGCTGGCTTTTCCTTTGGTCTTCCAACCTGCCTCCGGGTTAGAATCGGTGATTGATGTAATGCCTCGCCTTGTGATGGGTCAGTTGATGGAGCAGCCACAACAATGTCAGGTATTGGATTGATTGACATGGCATAGGTCAAGCGGTAGCACTCTGTTGTGAAATACTTGGCACAGAAGTCAAGTGGGTTATGATCAGTGCGCTCAAACACCGCAATTGCATGTGAGCATGGGATCCCAGAGACATGCCACTTTCTGCAGGTGCAGTCCCATGTATCAATGTTGACAACATTGACAGCGCCATCGCATACCTCAAACACATTATTGTTTCCGTCATTGCCTGTTGAGCAAACAACACTGTGTGTAAGAGCTTTGCCCATCTCTTCCTGAATTTTCTGATTGGTTGATGGAGTTAGCGGTTCCGTCCATGAATTCGAATATTCCCTGCGCGTATACATCATCTCCATCAAGTTGCATCTGATTGTATCAACCAACTGCACTACTGAGAGCTCATATCTACTGGGGACCCACTGAAGAATTGTCTCGGGAACATTGCAGGTGTACTGGCCAAGTCGCGACCCCTTGAAGAAGGCATCTGACCACTTCTCAGGTTTAGTCTCCAAAAGCCATTCAGCAAGCTTATCAGATTCAACTTTGATGAGTTCAATACACTGGTTGAATTCATCAACTTTGCATGAATACATGGCTTTCTTAACATGCTCAACCATTGTATCTTTTAGTTCTTCACTCCAACTGTCATCCAATTGTGCCTTAAATTCTTCAATAAAATAGTTGACATGGTAGCCATGATAGCTATCTGGAAATATAAGAGAGACCTCATCCAACAGACCACATTTGCCATTTGATATGAATGTTAGTTCTCCAGACACAGGCAATGAAGCTTTTAGCTGTTCAAGAAACCAATGCCAATTTTCTTGACTCTCGTCGTCCACTACAGAGAGTGCAACTGGGAACATATCGCCTTCACCATCAACTGAGGTAGCAGCCAACAGCTTCCAATGCTTGTTCGGTTTCACAGATATCACATCAAGAAAGAGGAGAGGTCTGCAGCCATGCACAAAACCTTGAATGGAGGCATGAAATGCAACAAAGAAGCGGAATTTTGAATCTTCCAAGGCCTCTACTGTTGCCGCACTTCCAGGGTTTGTCTCGACAATCCTTTGGCAAAACCAAGGAAGCTGGTTGCATGCCTCTTCATGTGAACTGTATAGTTCTTTCTGGGCTATTGATTTGCCTCGCCAAGCTTGGGAGTAATTCAGGCTTAGCCCATATTCCCGCTGAAGATCATTAGCAATATCTCTTGGCCTATAGTTTGGACTATCACGCAATTTTTCCTTAATAACACTGGCCACCCACTTTTGAGACGCTAGACGATGACTTTTGACTGACTCTGATTCACATGTATGACTTCCAAAAACTTTCTTAATCATGAAATCCTTCTTTGCAGGAGACTTGGATGCATGTATACGCCATGGACATCCTTCAGCGGTACATTCCACAGTGACACGAGAAGAGTCATTCTTGACAAATCTGTAATGGAACCTATGTGCAATGGCATACTTGTGTAGTGCATCACGGAATTCCTTTGGACCTTCAAACACTTGACCAGCTCCAGTAATCGCATTCTCCCAACTTGCACAAATCTTTTGCCTCTTAGATCCATCTGGAGTAGTTGCTGCTACAGCATGATCTGCAGAAGCAGCAGGCACCACGGCAGATGTTTTTACCCTGAAAAAAATGTCTCATGTCATTTTTGGATATCCACTTATGAAGATGTTTATGCCAGTCAGAAGGGTACCTGTTGTCAGCCTTCTTCATGACATAAATATATGTTGTCTCTGACTCTGCATGGAATTCAACCATGCGTTTTAGGTCTTTGTCATTGGAAATTGAAATCAAAGTCTTGTTATTCCTCGGAAGGAAGTACTTGAACACATAGGAGTCAAGTTTGAGGTTATTGAGCGTTGAAGATATCTCATGTTTGAATGTTTTAAAAGTCCAATCACTTTTCACATGCATCGCGTGCGCCTCTCCACCAGAATAGGACATCTGTCCATCATCATCAGTTTTGAATTCTCCACCTACTTGAAGAACAGCTACTATCTGTTTGCTCCCCATGACTTACACTTTCCTAAGAAGAGGTTCAATGAAAGTGTTAATGATTTGCAGAATTAAGGATGTATGCTCAGCAAGTTAATCTACATGGGAAAGTACTTATTGTGCAGCCGATACTTGTTTACCAGTTAAAGGCAGTGCATCAAGTTCAAGATATTATCAGGCTACCATATTGCCGAGTGAAAAACTTAAAGAGTTTTGAGAGACACAAGCAGCAGGCCATCCTTAAACAAATGGGGCAGGACATAAAAACAGCATCCAGCACATGAATTATCTAGTCTCACTAGAATAATACTACTATAATCTATACCACTATATTAACAGAGATACAGACAGAAAATAATAACAGAACATTTTTTTTACCGAGTTTCCTGGTATCCTAATCCTTTTAAAGAAGCTACCACTTAACTACTCAGGCAAATGAGTTTTAGACAGCCAATCGTAGATAACCATAAAATATATATTACTCTCTGTTCAGTCAGATGATTAATTTTGCGTGCAACAATTTACTATTTATGTAAGTGTACTTTTGGTACTGGAATGCTGGGAACGCACAGGATACCCTAATTTCCATATTACTATTACATATCCCCTCCATACATATAGGTTTCAAAACTTTTGGACCTAATTTCAATTAGATAAGACTTGAAGGACTTTGGCAGAAACTCTAATCTGCCCATCACTCCCTTACTTTTCTCTGCATTGCTTACAACAGCTTATTATTGGTAGAGAAAATATTCTTCTTACCCCTTATCCTCCCAACAGTTTAATTTAGTTATATAACTCAAAACAAAAGGTCCCAGTGCTTAAATTGAAGAATATGGAACTGAGGGTTCTATCTATATCACATAAAGTGGAAAACTTGAAACTGGAGAAATGACCATCCATTAGTTTCTGGACACACTTTTCGCCACCGTGGTGAGATGATGATTACTCATCAGATCCCAAACCTACGCCCAAAACGTCAGTGATCCAACCCTAATCCCGTCTCCTCTCCATCCCCCAGGACAGAAAGATCACGGGAAACCCTCACAAAATCCACAAATTCTACCCACGAACAGCTCAATGTCTAAACATTCATCAAAAGCAAAGAAACCCCCCAACTATTTCCACAAATTCTTTCGATAAGCCATTATATTTATTACATACGAACGCACGAAATGAAGCCCCCCAATTATTTCCACAAATATTTTCGATATTCCATTATATTTATTTACATATGAACGCACGGAATTTTTACCGGCCACGGTGAAGCTTCCACAGCTGCAGTTGCCGGAGTCGGGGATGCAGTAGTCGCGCCTCCGCTCCCTCACCACCCACGCCGCCGCCGCCGCCGCCGCCAGGAACACCCCCCAAATCACGGCCTCACCTCCCAGCCCGCGAGCACCGGCGGACGGAGCGCCGCCGGCCACCGTGGCGCGCGGCGGGCGCGCGCGCGTGCGGCTAGGCTAGGGTTTGGAGCTCGCGGGGATTGTGCTCGTGCTCGTGCAGCCGCCGCCGCCGGCTAGGGTAAGGGAAGGAAGGGGGAGGAGAAAAAAAAATATAGGGAAAATACTAATAGGTCCCTGCACAAATACAGAAATTACAATCCTGTCCTCCTCAGGTGGGCCGGAATTTTACAATCCGGTCCTTCTCGCCCCATTCCTGGGCTCGTGGGCTGAAATAGCACGAAAATTTCAGTGAGAAATCCGAAGCCGTCTTCCTCCTCCCCCCACGCCGGCGACGACGACCAACCCTAGACCCGCCGCCTCCTCCGCCGCCGCCGCCGCCGCCGGCCACCGCGAGAGGTAACGACCTCTCCTCCCGCATCTCCCCCTCCCTCTCCTTCCCACCATGGGGAGCAAGGGGAGGGCGCCGCCGCCTTACCACCACCGGGGGGCGCACAAGATGATGCACCGGGACCCGTACGGGGGGGCACCGGGGATGCCGGGGCCGTTCCCGTACGACATGCTGGCGGCGGCGGCGCCGCCGCCGGAGATCCTGGAGCAGAAGCTGATGGCGCAGCGGGGGGAGCTGCAGAAGCTGGCGGTGGAGAACGACCGGCTGGCGATGAGCCACGACTCGCTGCGGAAGGAGCTCGCCGCGGCGCAGCAGGAGGCGCAGAGGCTGCAGGCGCAGGGGCAGGCGGCGATGGCGGCCGAGGAGCAGGAGGCGAGGGGGATCCTCGACAAGGTCGCCAAGATGGAGGCCGACCTCAAGGCCCGCGACCCCGTCAAGGCCGAGCTGCAGCAGGCGCACGCCGAGGCGCAGGGCCTCGTCGTCGCGAGGCAGCAGCTGGCCGCCGACACGCAGAAGCTGAGCAAGGACCTGCAGAGGAACCTCGGCGAGGCGCAGCAGCTCCCCGCGCTCGTGGCCGAGCGCGACGCCGCTAGGCAGGAGTATCAGCACCTCAGGTGCCGCGCGATATGAAATGCTCCGCGTTTGTGCCTTTTAGTTATGAATTTACTTGATTTATGACTGACATCGATTTCTGCGTGCGCACCGGTCGAAATCTCAGGGCTACGTATGAGTACGAAAGGAAACTCAGGATGGATCACTCCGAGTCGCTGCAGGTGATGAAGAGGAATTATGACACCATGGTCGCTGAGCTAGACAAGCTTCGTGCTGAGCTGATGAACACGGCTAATATTGACAGAGGAGGCATGCCGTTTATCTGTTGTTCCATTTTTTTTACCACAATTTTTGGGTAGCATATATAGAAACCACACCATGAGACATTTTCTATGTGTAGGTATGCTATACAATACTAATACTGCTCAAAAGGATGATGGCGCGCCTAGTCTTCCTGTTGGACAAATTGCTTATGATAGCGGTTATGGAGCTGCGCAGGTGAGCATCTTTATAACTCCTAAATAGATAACCAGCATACGGTGGAACTTATTATTTTGTGAAGCATGTTTCATCTGGATGACTATGTATATCATTTCATTGTCGTTGCAACTCCACTAGGCAAACCTCACTTCTCCATAGCCTTCAGAATTTATCTGTCATGGAAGTTGAGCCTTTTTGTTGTTATACCTTCATGGGCTAGTCTCTATCATGAAAGCACTTCTACTATGATGTTTATGCATATACCTTGAATTAAGTTATGCACAGTAGCACAGGTCAATAAACCAGTAAATAGCAAGAGCACGAGGATTTGGCCTCTGTTAGTTCCAATGTCACTGGTTTAAGTTTTTAATTATTATTTTGCTAACTTTTGCGGATATTGTTTTGTTTATTTATACAATTGCCATCTTATTTTCAGTCCCAAATATTAAATTCTTATTCTATACTTGTGTAATTAAATTGATTTATTTGCACAATCGGGATACCCCTTGCCATTAGCTAGTTTTGCGCTTTTGCTTGGTTTTAAATTTTAAGACTTCAAGTTATGGCACTGAGTTATACAAAATACATTGTACCAGTTTATTCAAAGATCATTACACCTACTGTAGAATGAGTTCATAACAAAGATACGATTGAATCAAGGATTTGGATCAAATCCTAAGCTCTCATGGGCTTCCAATGCAATCTCATCGAAAGTACAGAATACCGTAAATGAAAGCAGGACTAACTAGCTTTTTTACTTTTGTTCATTGATTCCTTTGTGCGTTTCTTTTCTGTCCTGAAGTTAATGGATGCTTTTCTTGCGGTGCACCCTTGATCATAAAGTAATTACGATACCTTTTTCCTTGTAGCAATGACAATTTCATATTTTGTCTTCTGCTTTTCTAACTGGTGCTGGAGCAATCTTTATGTATTAGTAACGATGGTATTTCAAATGTTATTGCAGGGAAGGACACCACCTGCTGGACTGGGAGACTCTTTAAGCGGAAACCCAGCTGGCACAGCTCCTCGGACTGGATTTGATCCATCAAGAGGCAATATGTATGACGCTTCTCGTATTGCTAGCTTCAGTTCTTCAAAAGCTGGAGGACATGATGCATCAAGGGGTGCCGCAGGCTACAATTCTTTGAAAGGTGCTGGATATGATCCTTCTAAAGCACCTGCACTTGGAGGACAGGCAACAGCTGCAGCTGCTCATGGGAGTAGTGCTGATTACTATGGATCAAATCAGGCAACACCACCTTCATATGCTTGGGGACAAGCTGCATCCGCTTATGGATCTGCACAAGTGCCACAGTCACATGCATCTGGACCTCCTGTTCAATCAACATCCTACAGTGCAACAACAGCACGTAACTTTGGCTCTGCCCAGGCTTTACCATCATATGCACATGCACAGGAGCAACCTTCATATGGACACGCACAGCTACCATCCTCATATGGATTAGCGCAAGCATCATTTCCATTTGCCCCAGCGCAAGGGGTGTCACCCTATGGGTCAGGTGCACAGCCTCCGCAGTATGGAGCTGGGCAAGCAGCAACTAATCCTGGCAGTGCTTACCAAGCACCTCATGGACGTAAATAAATCGGCAAAAGTTGTCTACTGATGGATTGTTATTGGCAAAAGAGACAATGCGCTGCTTTGTACACCAGAGTTCAGTTTCCTTTCCACAGCTACCAAATCTTGTCGTTTAACTGATATGAGGTGATTCCTGAATATAGTCTGGAGAAGTAATGCTCTGCAAGATGGGAATGCTTCTGTAAAGTGTAAACTTGTCGTCGGTGTTTTAACTGCCTTTTTTTATACCTTCAAGCCTCCAGGTTAGGCAACCCATGGAAGCATGAATTCTGACAAGAGCTGTAACTGTTGATTCTTATTTGATTTGTCAAAGTTAGTCGATTGTTTGTTAGTTCAAACTCAAATGCTGCATGTATGATATGAGATATACACTGCTAGTTCTGGGAGGTTAATAATATGCCCGTGCTGGAGATTCTCAATGTTTATCATGCATGCATTCGTTCTGTTTATCCTGTAAATGCGCATGCCCAGGATGCATACATCCGACATTCCCAATGACAGCCTCAATGGCATATGTTAGAAGCTGAAAAGTTTGGAAATTTTGTACTGGAGTTGCAGCCTCCTGTTGTGCTCTGGTTTTCAAATATGTTTTCAGATGGACAATCACATAGTTTTGAAGCAATGCTAACATTTTTTTGACATAATGATCCAATTTATTGAAAAACAATCAGCACTAGATTGGTTGCATTGTAAAGACAAAAAACAGTTTATTCCTTGATGATGTTCCATGCATCTACCTCGCTAATCAGCGATAAGCTAGAGGAACAGCAGCTAGCAAAAGGTACCTACCTGGAACAATTTCAGTGGCAGAGGGCACAACGCGAACGCAAGTAACAGCCACCCGTTTCACTAGTTACAGCAGAATGACAGATTGAACAGCACACATGAATCCCTATCTGCTGCAATATAATGCACTATGAATCCAGCTTCTTTTTTTTTTCTTTTACCTCAGTGCACCAGTGGAAAATTCTGAAGAAAATTCGATTGAAACGTCTCGCGAACCGCGCAATTCAATGGCCATGGATGCACAGAAAATTTTGCCAGGACAAGTCAAAATTCCAGCTAGAGTTCTTGGTGCCGGCACTAGTATATCTATGGCTCATATAAGCTTCTTGCTGAACTTGAGCAGAATAAATTCATACACACTTTATAGAAAAAGCAGAGGAGAAAAGACTGAAATTTGTTCTAACTCTACACACAGGGGAATATGATAGGGCCTATACTGCCTCAAGTTTAAACTCAGTATTATCAGGAATCATGATCAGGAGGGGATAACAATGAAAAGAAAAGAAGCTTTTTACAGGGCAGTTAGGACTGTACAAGTGAAACTCTGAATTTAATTGGCTGATAAAAAAAAAGGGTATCACTGCCTAACTCTCTTCTCTGGACTCTGGAAGTGCTTTATTCATAATATTCATAAAGGCAAAATCTTCTTGCAACAGACAATGGTTGATAAGGTATAATGTTACTGTGCAATTTATTCAACTTGTGTCAAATCGCTCGTATAGTTCGTTTGATAGCGCGATAGCTTTAGGAAAGGTGATCCATTAAACCACTTGATGATGTATCTATTTGAAAATTGATTTCTTTGTAATCTCGTTATATTGCTTTTGCGATGATGCCAGTCAACATCTATTATGTCTGTCTAGAAAATATAGCTGCCATTTAGAAACATAATAGATGCACTGTTAATAATTTTGTCAAATAACTCTTGTAGCAATATTGTTTGGGCAACAGTGCAATGTTGCATAATTAATAAAAAAAAATCAGAATATACTAAATTCGGCAGTTGGTTAATATTTTCTTTATCAAAACAGGTCATTGCTTTAGTTCTTTTAATAAAAAAACCACCCTAACCTCTTACCGGTTGTTTTTTTTCTTCTCAGAATTGCATATCGGAACCTCATAAACTAAGTGAGATATTTCATACTCTCCATGTTACTCTAGTGATGATGCTTGCTTTATACTTTCTAGGTTTTGTAAGTAGTAACCACCATTTGTAAGATTCTATTGTTCTTCATTTGTTCGGCACGTACAAAAGGAAAGGAGGCGATAAATTATTGCTAGTTTGATCAAAAGGGGTAAACACTTTGTCATATGAAAACAATTCTCAGTTTTAAAGGTGAGAAATATCTTAAATTAATCCCCTCTTTGTTCTCTTTGGTTGCTATCTTTCTTTGGAAGCCATGAACTCACTCTCCTATGCCAAGATTCATCTCTAGCTGCGGCTTCCAATGCCATCTGGACACAAAGACATACAGATGGAGATGGTTCTGCATTATTGCATTGAGAATCCAAATTAATTAATCTAACAGAGATTATGACATGAACATATCTAATATCTTTACATCTAAATTTGTAGCTCTCGCCTAACAACTCCGGACCTCTTCTCATCATTAGGATTCTGCCTAAAATTTGTTATGCATGATCATCCCAACATTGCGATTACAGCAAGAACGCATTACATGTACGGCGAGGACTAAATTAAATAATGAACCAAAGGCCTAAAAGCAAAGAGATCTTGCAGTTTGCAGCTTGTCTTCTGATACAACTAGGCAAAAATTTATCTGTAGAAGGTACTTGGGAGACTGCAAGACTGGAGCTGTATGCAGCAAAGCTTCTACTGCAATATGCTGTATGATATCTTCTTTGGGTGGTTAGAATCATTTACATGGCAGAATTCCCTTTTTGACTGGTCTTTCTCAGTGATCACTGATCAGTAGTAAACTGGTATAATCTATACTATACTGAATTACAGATTAGTATAGAGAATTATACGCGGTATATAGCTAAAGGGAGCAGGAATAATTTGCTCTAAAACTTTTTGCCTGTCTACTTGTTAGGCACCGAACATGGTACTGAATTTGGGGTAATGTGAATGCTTCTTTTTAAGTGTTTTTTTTAGAGTTTTGATTAGGATGTAAGATCACGGAATTGCATGCTAATCAAGATTTGTTCCTCTTGTTCTCCTAAACAGGAGGTATTGGTCCCTGACTTGTTAGTACTGAAGGTAAAGAGGTAGGCCAAATCTTGGCCATGTCTGGTTATTAAAATGGCCCTGAAATGACTAAACATGTTAGTGACCCTAAGATGCTGGCTTATCGTCATAAACTGCCTTATCTAAACAGTTTGTTCTCGCTTCCCTTATCTGAATTTACTTTAATCAGTGCCCTAATGGATGATGCAAAGAGTCACTGCATGCTGTGGATTGTGGAAGCTCAACTGGGATATTGCTCCTATGATTAGCAGTTAAATATTCATGTCATTTCTAATCCGAGAGGAGTGAATTGCTGCACAGCTAGATTGTTCAGAGAACAACTCCTGAAGTCTGAATGATCCTTTTGGCAATTTTTTATTTTGACTTTTTTTGGAAACTGTAATTGTACAGTGTACTTTCAGCATCAGGGAAGAATGCATCCTTGCATTGCTGCACAGCTAGATTTGTTCAGAGAACAACTTGTCCTTTTGGCAATAGTTATTTTTTATTTTGATTTTTTTTGGCAATTCTAATTTTACAATCTACTGTGAGCATCAGAGAGGAAAGCATTGCTGCACAGCTAGATTTTTCAGAGAACAATTCCAGAAGTCTGAATGATCCTTTTGACAGTTGTGATTTTTACAATGTACTGTGAGAGCATCACATTCAGCTGCACATTACTAGTACTAAGAAAATGATTAATTTTTCTTGCAACCCAAGATCAAAAGAGTACCTACTACACCTAATTGTCCGGTCAAAGAAAGAGGGTGGCTGAGGTTGATTAGAGGTAAAATTATGCCTAACTAGTAGTAGCATGCATGCCAGATAATTTGCTTTCTAGGACTTCCATCAGGAACTTCTCTTCTTGATTAGCGAAAGAGAGAACTTACCATTCACTGATCTCCCCAACAAAAATCACATTTGAATCAGAAGTTGGAAGCAGTTTTTATTGGTAACGCTTGCTATATGAAACGCTAAATATAAACACCATATTTATACTAATCCAAAATTCCAAATCATACTGGAGCATGCAAACTTTGAAGATCCGATGACAAGTAACTGCAACAATGCATTTCAGAAATTTCTTCTGTGACTGTAACTTCAGAAAAATTTCATTTGAACAGAATTCAGAAGCTCACCTGAATTTGACTCCTAAAAATGCTATCCAGAATGCACCTTTTTGTTCTATAGGGAATAGTTAGTTTGTCATCATGTTGTTTGCTGATTTTTTTAAAAAAAGAAATGCATTTAACTGTAGTCTGTAGCCACAGTATTCCGTACTAGTAGGCCATAATCACTGTAGCAGAAGATCTAGGCCATTCTTTTCGCAGTCCAATCCAACGGTTGGAATTTATCCCAAGACAGGTGCCTTCTTATTCTCTACGTACGGTAGGCAATCTTCGTCTACCGCCGTAGTTACATTTGGTATATTAGCTTAATGATTTTTATTAGGGCCTATTTTGTCCTAGCGTCTAATTGAGTGATTTTACGGCTATTAAGAATATATCGACTGTCAAGCAGCATAATTTTAATCTTATGGTACCTCAGTACTTTGGAAGGTACTAGGAATTATCCTTTTCTTTACAAAATAAACCTCCTTCTGGTATTTTGCCATTTTTTTTATAAAGGAAGCTTTTATTAATCTCATACGATTACATCAAGTTGGCTATTTTGCCAATGCCCATGAGAATCGTTTGATTTAGATATCGACATGGTCTCCAAGATACAACTTTAACATTTAATTTCTATTATAATATATTTTACAAACCCGATAAAAACAAGATATATCGATACATACAACCTCCATGCATCCACTATTAAGATGAACATTTTTCTAGACAGGCTAAAAGTATTTTCATAGATGTGCCTTGTGGTCATTTCTAAGCAAAAGGCTGTACAAACAATCGTGTACATAGGCGGCCACTTAACATAGCCGCCTGTGAGAATTATTAATACATGTAGCTATTTTTAAGTGACCTCCTTAAGAGCCCCGACAACTTACTCCACTGTCTTTGATAATATATTTTAAACACAGTGAATTATGGAAATGGTCCTATTTAGATAGACGGTCCACTTAAATTGTTTCTAGTAACAGACAATGTGGACCTCACCTGGCGTTCTCCACATTTGTCTCCTTTCATGGAATGCCCATGGAGTTTTTCTTGGGGGTAGGGAGGAGAGAGCACGGGGAAAATTTCATAGTAGTGATCCAATCTTTTTTTTTCTATTTTCAATATGATTGAATTTAATGTTGGAGTCGAAAATATCCAAAACTGACATTTTCATGAAGGTGGTATAGTGTAATCCATCAAGTCCAAATGCTCAATCACCAAATCATTTGTCAGGTCCTACAGACCAAGAATCCATTGATGATTGATCCATATTTAATCTATACGTCATACATATATACTCCTTGTGAACTATAGCAATATTTCATGGCAATAATGC